TACCCTTCTTCCTCCCTCTCCATCTTTAATCCTCTACCCTTCTTCCTTGCTTTTCGTCTATCATCCTATGCCCCTGCTTCCTGGCTCTTTGTCTATCATCCTCTGCAACTCTTCCTCATTCTCCATCTACCATCCTCTGCCCACTCTTCCTTGCTCTCCATCTATCATCGTCTGCCCATACTTCCTTGCTCTCCATCTATCATCCTCTGCCAACTTGTCCTCTCTCTCCGTCTATCATCCTCTGTCCACTTCTCTTCACTCATCATCTAAAATCCTTTTCCCACTCTTCCACATTCTCCATTTATCATCCTCTTTCCCACTCTTCCTCGCTCTCCGTCTACCATCCTCTGCCCATTCTTCCTCACTCTCCATCTATCATCCTCTGCCCACTCTTGCTTGCTCTCCATCTGTCATCCTCTGCCCACTCTTCCTCACTCTCTGTCTATCATCCTCTGCCCACTCTTCCTCGCTCTCTGTCTATCATCCTCTGCCCACTTTTCCTCACTCTCCACCTTTCATCCTCTGCCCACTCTTCCTCGGTCTCTGTCTATCATCCTCTACCCTTCTTCCTTGCTTTTCGTCTATCATCCTATGCCCCTGCTTCCTGGCTCTTTGTCTATCATCCTCTGCAACTCTTCCTCATTCTCCATCTACCATCCTCTGCCCACACTTTCCTTGCTCTCCATCTATCATCCTCTGCCAACTTGTCCTCTCTTTCCGTCTATCATCCTCTGTCCACTTCTCTTCACTCATCATCTAAAATCCTTTTCCCACTCTTCCACATTCTCCATTTATCATCCTCTTCCCACTCTTCCTCGCTCTCCGTCTACCATCCTCTGCCCATTCTCTTCCTCACTCTCCATCTATCATCCTCTGCCCACCCTTCCTCATTCTCCATCTACCATCCTCTGCCCACACTTCCTTGCTCTCATCATATCATCCTCTGCCAACTTGTCCTCTCTTTCCGTCTATCATCCTCTGTCCACTTCTCTTCACTCATCATCTAAAATCCTTTTCCCACTCTTCCACATTCTCCATTTATCATCCTCTTCCCACTCTCCTCGCTCTCCGTCTACCATCCTCTGCCCATTCTTCCTCTCACTCTCCATCTATCATCCTCTGCCCACTCTTGCTTGCTCTCCATCTGTCATCCTCTGCCCCACTCTTCCTCAGTCTCTGTCTATCATCCTCTGCCCACTCTTCCTCGCTCTCTGTCTATCATCCTCTGCCCACTTTTCCTCACTCTCCACCTTTCATCCTCTGCCCACTCTTCCTCGGTCTCTGTCTATCATCCTCTGCCCACTCTTCCTTGCTCTCCGTCTATCATCCTCTGCCCACTTTTCCTCACTCTCCATCTTTCATCCATTGCCCACTCTTCTTTGCTCTCCATCTATCATCTTCTGTCTACTCTTCCTCGCTCTTCATCTATCATCCTCTGCCCGCTCCTCCTTACTCTCCATCCATCATCCTCTGCCCCACTCTTCCTCGCTCTCCATCTATCATCCTCTCTGCCCACTCTTCCTCGCCCTCCATCTATCATCCTCTGTCCACTCTTCCTTGCTCTCCATCTACCATCCTCTGCCCACCCTTCCTCTCTTTCTATCTATCATCCTCTGCCCACTCTTCCTTGCTCTCCATCTACCATCCTCTGCCCACCCTTCCTCTCTCTCTATCTATTATCCTTTGCCCACTCTTCCTCGCTCTCCATCTATCATCCTCTGCCCACCTATCATCATTCTTTCCCCCTTCTTTCTTACTCATTGTGTATCATCCTTTCCCCTCTCTTCTGCCTCACTCTCCATCTATCATCCCCCACCTTTCTCACTGTTGTGTATCATCCTCACCCCCCCTCTTTCTCAAACACTGTGTTTCCCTCCTGTCCCCCTTCTAACTTGCTCTGCATTCATCATCCTCTTCTTCTTTCAGTGCTGGGACAAGGTCATCCGGTGCCCTGGGCGAAGATTTCTTGCAGCACCATTGGATCGTTTCTTCGGCACGCCGGTTGAAACAATAAACCCAAGAAACACCAGCAAACTGAAAAGCGGTCCATTGGTTAATGAGCCTCTCGGACCACTTTCAAAAGAAAAAAAAAAAACACTTGCAAACCGCAACCTACAGTATAAGTACGTATTGTGGTCGGCAAATGGCTATGTAAAAATGTTCATACCTGGAATTCATCTTTAAATACTAATGTACTATATGCACAATACCAAAGGGCAATGGCGCTTAGTGTGCAGCTAGTTTTCAATGCTTGCTATTTAACATCTAAGTAGATATTGAATAAGCTGTCATGTTTAAACTGCTTTGGCAATTTAGTTCCTTGTATGTTGGTAAGGTAGGGCTGTAATTAAAGAAAATCTTCTTAATAATACCTGTACATAGAGCAGGCAATAAATCTCAGTCACAGAAGCCACAAATATCACATTTTTTAATAAGCACTGCTTTTAGGCGAAGTGCATGGTTTACTGTCTATTCACACCAACACATTAGTAATGTGGTTTTCATGTATTATGAATGCATGGACATCCCATTACAGTTAAATTCGATTCATGTAAATTAGGGTTTTTTTTAAAAATATTTTTTTAAAAGTCTTCAAAGAAACAGCTGTCCTCGTTATCTGCGTATAAAAAAGGTATATACTCCAATCAAATGATATATCAAAATCAATATGTACTCCAGTCTAAATAAAAGTAATATAATAAAATATAAGTAAAATAATAAATAAAATGGTGACAGTTCGTGATGAGTGATCAATAAAGGAGTTGCTAGTGACTTCACGGTCCAGTGGTTTGGTGACAAATAGTAAAAATACGCACTCACCAGATCAGGGACGGACTGACCATTTGGAAACTTGGGCACTGCCCGAGGGCCCGGGGTCAGTAGGTGGCCCCATGAGATGCCCCTGGTACCTTTTTCATAGGCTTTTTTGAGTTTGGGCAAGGGCACCATGATCCCCTATTGCCCGGGGGCCCCATGAGTTGTCAGTCCACCCCTGGTCTCCCGTTATATTGTAAAGCGCTGAGCAAACTGTTGGCGCCATCTAAATCCTGCATAATAATAATAATATAATGGATTAAAAGCAATGCAACTCCTGGCCAGCTTATCTTGTTATCTCACCAGTTGTCTAAGAAAGGTACTGATGTCAGACAGAGGGAAGGCCACTAAATAAGGAATCCACAAATCTGTATATAAAATATCTTCAGGAAGCTATGCTACAGAAAAAAAAATGAAAAAAAAAAACAAAAATCATTAAACATTTCTTTCAAGCAATTGCAATAAAAACTCAAAAAGCATTCCCACTATAATCTCCCTTTAAAACACAGCTTATAACTTGGTTCACATAAAAAGTGAAAGCAGGAACATCCCGCTGAACAGGATCATGGTCTGCACTGTATGTGCCTCCGAAGGAAAGGTAGGTGTACCCACCTCTGACACAAGAATACTATGATCAATGACAGCCTAGAGTTCCAGCATCCTGTAAGATGACCCTAGGGGGCAACAGGTTTCTGGATCTTGGGTTACGATGAAAACCAACAATCCATCCACCAGCTTTGTAAAAATTCCACTTGATATACTAACCGGACATAACAGTCCCATCATATCCAATCAAATGATATATCAAAATCAATATGTACTCCAGTCCAAATAAAAGTAATATAATAAAATATTAGTAGTAAAATATAAGTAAAATAATAAATTAATAAAATGGTGACAGTTCGTGATGAGCGATCATTAAAGGAGTTGCTAGTGACTTCACGATCCAGTGGTTTGGTGACAAATAGTAAAAAATACGCACTCACCAGATCAGGGGCGGACAGACCATTTGGAAACTTGGGCACTGCCCGAGGGCCCGGGGTCAGTAGGGGGCCCCATGAGATGCCCCTGGTACCTTTTTCATAGGCTTTTTTGAATTTGGGCAAGGGGACATGGGCCCCGCCCCATGATCCCCTATTGCCTGGGGGCCCCATGAGTTGTCAGTCCGCCCCTGCACCAGATGTGTATCTTTTAATACGCATGTGATAAATAAACCAGAGGTCCCCCTCATGGGATGGGATGGATGAGCTGGACCATCTTAGCGGACTCTCCTTCCTCTGGGTATTGAGCAGCCAAACCGTTGTCTCCCTCTAGGAAATGGACAGGGCACTGGGCAGCTTACAGCAGGACGTGCGTCATCCTTACGGTTGATATCATATGTCACAGACTCATGAACGCTTATTAATCCACAAGGCAAAAAATGCAAATTTAGTTAAAATCAAGTAAAAAAATTACTGACCAATGTGCAATAGACGTCACGGCGTGTAGGCCCCTTTAAACGCGTTTCGTGCGATAGCACTTCATCAGAAAGGCATGGCCATGCCTGTCTGATGAAGTGCTGTCGTACGAAACGCGTTAAAGGGGCCTACACGCCGTGACGTCTATTGCACATTGGTCAGTAATTGTTTTACTTGATTTTAACTTTTTATACGCATATTTATGAGGTTTATGTTTTGGTTGCTTTTGTGTGCTATAGCTGCCATTATTTGAAGCGCTCACTGATTTCACTTACCATATGTCCTTGTTATCTATTTTGATCAATGAGATTCTCTGTTTCACCTTCTCTATTTTGCATTAGGAAAATATAAAGGCACCAGGACTGGCACCCCTCTGCGAGAACGTCGCTAAGAACACATTTCTGTTTTATCGGTTGTAATTTGGTTTAGAATGTGACTATGTATAATCCTATGTGGGAGCAATGATGATAGAAAAAAATGCATTGCCAAAAACTATGCAGGTAAAAATGTCTTGTTTCCATCTGTCGCCTGTAGGAACAAACCTAAAGTGCCGAGTGATAAATCGGGTTCTACAGAAAGCAGGTCACTGGTTTATGAGGGCGGTAAGAATTGTCCTTCAATTAGACCAGCCTTTCTCAACCTGTTTTACCCCCGCTGGATCCTTTAAATGATTTTAGGGAACCCCTACATGAACTAATTATTTGGGGATTAGTGGTCCCACTGGTGGTCAGTGGGAAGAATGCTCCTTACATGTGTAGTCAATAGGAAAGATGATCCTTACATTGGTGGTCAGTGAGAAGAATGCCCCTTATATTGATGGTATGTGGGAAGAATGCTCCTTACACTAGAGGTCATTGTAAAGAATACATCTTACACTGGTGGTCAGTGGGAAGAATGCCCCTTACATTGGGATCAGTGAGAAGAATGCCCCTTACATTGGTGATCAGTGAGAAGAATGTCCCTTACATTGAGGTCAGTGGGAAGAATGCCCTTTACATTGGGGTCAGTGAGAAGAATGCCCCTTACATTGAGGTCAGTGGGAAGAATGCCCCTTACATTGGTGGTCAGCAGAATGCCCCTTACATTGGAGGTCAGTGGGAAGAATGCCCCTTACATTGAAGATCAGTGGGAAGAATATTCCTTACATTGCTTGTCAGTGGGAAGACTATCCCTTACATTGGTGATCAGTGGAAGAATACTTCTTACATTTTGAGGTCAGTGGGAAGACTATCCCTTACATTGGAGGTCAGTGGAAAGAATGCCCCGTACATTGCTTGTCAATTGGAAGAATGCCCCTTACATTGGAGGTCAGTGGGAAGATTGCTCCTTACATTGCTTGTCAGTGGGAAGAATGCCCCTTACATTGGGGGTCAGTGGGAAGAATGCCCCTTACATTGGGATCAGTGGGAAGAATGCTCCTTACATTGGAGGTCAGTGGGAAGAATGCTCCTTACATTGGTGGTCAGTGGGAAGAATGCTCCTTACATTGGTGGTCAGTGGGAAGAATGCCCCTTACATTGGGGGTCAGAGGGAAGAATGCCCCTTACATTGGGATCAGAGGGAAGAATGCCCCTTACATTGGGGTCAGTGGGAAGAATGCCCCTTACATTGGGGTCAGTGGAAAGAATGCCCCTTACATTGGAAGGTCAGTGGAAGAAATGCCCCCTTACATTGAAGATCAGTGGGAAGATATTCCTTACATTGGTGGTCAGTGGGAAGATTGCCCTCCTTACAGTGGTGATCAACATGTCCCCCCTACAAATAGTTAAAAAGATCATTGGTGTGAATCTGCTGGCTCTGCCATGTGACAGTAGCAGCTAAAATACACAGGCACCATCATGTGGGCGGTTAGTCATTCACAGTTCAAGGAACCTTAGCAAACTCTAGAGCACATGTATCAAACACAAGCAGTCGGCAGCAAAGAGAAGGACAGAACTCCTCCTACAGATCCTGCACTTCTTTGTGCAGCTGTGAAGAGGCTCTTCTTTGCCCTACCCCCGTCTCAGCAGTCAGCAGCAGAGTGGAAGGCAGAACTTCTCCTACAGATCCTGCGCTTCTCTGTGCAGCCACAGCAACCACTTGTCTCTGCCTTCCCTGGTCTCAGCATTTAGCAGACTCCAGCCCTCCCCTGGTCCTCCTCCAGACCTTGTATTTTTCACTTTCCAGCTCTGCCCCCAGCTTCTCAGCAGCAGCACAAAATAAAGGGGGTGCACTGTGATCAGGGGCGGACTGACCATTTGGGAACTCGGGCACTGCCCGAGGGGCCTGGGGTCAGTAGGGGGCCCCAGGAGATGCCCCTGGTACCTTTCATAGGCTTTTTTGGGTGTGGTTTGAATTTGGGTGAGGACATAGGGGCCCCATAATCCCCTATTGCCCAGGGGCCCCATGAGTTGTCAGTCCGCCCCTGACTGTGATGTAAGGGAGAGTGGGGGACTCCTGACCTCTGATGGTGGAGGGGGGGGGGGCTAGTGACATCTGATGTAAGGGGGGTTGGGGTGCTCTGGAGATTTAGTCTTACAGATACAATCAGCCCTTTAAGGGAAACCATAGTGCTGATGCGGCCATGAAATTGAGTTTGACGCCTCTGCTCTTGAGGAACCCTGGAATTCCACAGAACCCTGGTTGAGAGTGCCTGCATTTTACTCTATATACCTACTTAAGAATCTTCAGCATCTGGGACACATGGGGAGTATCAGATGGCCGTGTGTCTCTGTGTGTCCCTGCATCACTGTAATGACATAGGGACTGGCATGTGGAGCCACAAAAGACAATAGGAAACAGGGGAGGACTGACTATTTGGAAACTCGGGCACTGCCCGAGGGCCCGGGGTCAGTAGGAGGCCCCATGAGATGCCCCTGGTACCTTTTTCATAGACTTTTTTGAGTTTGGGCAAGGACACAGGGGCCCCATGATCCCCTATTGCCCGGGGGCCCAATGAGTTGTCAGTCCGCCCCTGATAGGAAACATGAGCATCAGACACAGCCAGTGTTGGATCCTTGAATATTCTTCAGCTCTTTATCTTCATTCAAAAGAGCGAAGACGGGAGACACCACCTTCCAAATTGGTAAGTACTGGCATACCTCGGTTTACGAACGCCTCGGTTAACATAATTTTTTGGTTTACAAATGAAAGTCCATTGAAAATAATGGCTCGGTTTACAAATTTTTTCGCAATACGAACGGATTTGTAGGTTTTCAACGCATTTACAATTTTTTTTAATCATGTCCCTGTACAGTATTTATGCCTTTAACCACTTCAAGTCCGGACACTTTCACCCCCTTCCAGTCCAGACACTTTCCCCCCCTTCCAGTCCGGACACTTTCACCCCCTTGCTGTCCAGACACTTTCACCCCCTTCCAGTCCAGACACACTTTCCAGACACTTTCACCCCCTTGCTGTCCGGACACTTTCACCCTCTTGCTGTCCGGACACTTTCACCCCCTTGCTGTCCGGACACTTTCACCCCCTTCCAGTCTGGACACTTTCCCCCCCTTCCAGTCCAGACACTTTCACCCCCTTCCAGTCCGGACACTTTCCCCCCCTTCCAGTCCGGAAACTTTCCCCCCCTTTCCGGACACTTTCCCCCCCTTCCAGTCCGGACACTTTCACCCCCTTGCTGTCCGGACACTTTCCCCCCCTTCCAGTCCGGACACTTTCACCCCCTTCCAGTCCGGACACTTTCACCCCCTTCCAGTCCAGGCCAATTTTCAGCTTTCAGCGCTGTCACACTTTGAATGACAATTGCGCGGTCATGCAACACTATACACATATTAATTTTTTAGCATTTTTTTGAGACAGATAAAGCTTTATTTTGGTGGTATTTATTTCACCACTGGGATTTTTATTTTTTTTGCTATATAAATGAAAATGTCCAAAAATGTTGAAAAAGGTGTTTTTCAAATAAAATGTTGCAAATAAATCATCTTTCTTCATAAATCATGGCCAAAATGTATTCAGTTATCTTTTTATTAAAAATAATAACCCAAATTAGTTTATAACCAAAAAATATAATTTTTTTTAAAAAAACATTTTTTTTATATTTTTTATGTTTTTTTTTTTTGTAACATACTGTCACCCTAGCAGTGCAGTGTCACCATAGTGACACTACTACTTGTGGGGGGTGATGAAGATTTTTTTTTTCTTTTACACTGATTGCTTTTACACCCATAAAGGCTGTAAAATCAATTATTTCTTCTTCTCTCTGGCTGCATTCTTGCAGTCATTGAGAAATACTGTGTGAGCTGTGATAGGTCACAGCTTGTCACATGGTACAAGGCTGTTGTGAATAGCCTTGTACCATGTGACCTCTGTGATCATTCACAGATTTCACACGTAGTAAGCAATGATGTCAGAAGTCACATCTTGCTTACTACTATTCATGTGATCACTGATTGGCCAATCAGTGATCACATGATCGGGACCTCACACAGAGGTCCCGTACAGCGATCGGTGTTCCACTGTGTCCGGAGGACACAGCGGGCATCGGATCGTGGTGCCGCGCATTCCCAGGGAGCGCGCACAGCCCAAAGTGGCGGGCACTATTAATGCACTGCGACCGTCCAGCCGTTTATATATAAAGTGCACTTTATAAAGAGTTTTGAACAGATAAGACTTTTTATTAACTTTTTTCTGACCTCCGGAACGGAATAATTAGTTTTCAATGCATTTACGTTTTTTTTTTTTTTTATCATGTCCCTGTACAGTATTTATGCTTTTATAGTGCACTTTATAAAGAGTTTTGAACAGATAAAAGACTTTTTAACTTTTTTTCTGACCTTCGGAATGGATTAATTGGTTTTCAATGCATTCCTATAGAAAACCGCATTTTGGTTTATGAATTTTTCGTAATACGAAAAGTCCTGCAGAATGCATTAAATTCGTAAACCGAGGTACGCTGTATTATAATTTTTCTTTTTAAGGGTGTATCTTTAAATGTTCAGCCTCTTTGGACCACCTACTGACAACTACATATAAAACCTCTAACAAAATCAAATAAGTAGGGCAGATTCAATGGACCACTTTCCTATGTTTCTATAATAACCCAAAAAAAAGTCAGAAATAAACATTCTGATCACACGGTTGTTTGCTAGGCCAAGTCTTGAAGAGCTTAAGCATCAGGTGTTGCATTTCTCAAGAAATTGCTGACAACAAATGTTATCAATGTACGCAGCACTTTACATATATATTGTACATTCACATCAGTCCCTAACCCTCAAGGGGCGTACAATCTCTAAGGTCCCTAACTCACATTCATACATACACCTGTAGCAATCGTACCCACAGAGATGGACGTGGTTCAACCATGTTGCTCCAACCTCCATCTTGGCAAAGGATCATTCATCTTGTACAAACATATCTCCCCTCATTCTCTCCCCCTCCCTCTCTGAGAGTCACAGTGACATTTGGTCGGTGTGTGTGTTGGAAGTGTCACAGGCAGGCCGGGGCACAGCAGGGGGCTCTGAGCTATAAACCATCTTTGAGCTGGGCGCCGGGCTGGCTGGGAAGCTGAGCAATCTGGCACCTCGTAAAACGATAACCCAAGCCTTCCCCTGAGTTCAAAGACATTTCAGAGGAGTAAGAACCTAGATAGCACTTTTAAAATCCATTTTTCCCCTATGTCTCATATCTTGGAATATGAGAGACTTACATAAAAACCAGCCATATCTTCAGATTGGCCACGAGAAGACAATCAGTTTGATATGTCACTCTCCTTGGCTGGAATATATAGGAAAGCAGAAAATTACATCTCTTGAACCCTTCAAGTATGTATTTCATATTTCATATGTAACCATTCCTCAGATGCGTCTGCATATTAATCTGCCCGCGGGTGGACTGGTACTTGTGCCTAGGAAAAGTTATGAGCCAAAATATGAGCTAAGAGAGATTTTGGTTCTAGTTTGGGTCTCCGCCCAGACAATCCCTCCCCAAATGAGGCATTGGTCCTTGGCTTCAGAGACACCCCCTGCTGGGGAACTACAAAATAGGCTGTCAGGCCTGATGTTGAAGAATTCTCCCGTTTAACATCAGAACCAACTTGGGAGACATGCCCTTTTGCTCTGATACTTGATCTGCCAAGGCTGATTGGCAAGTACTTTAACCCTTTACCCTCCTTTCTGTTACCTCTTTGCTGTGCTATTATTCTCTGTATATTTATATATATATTGGTTACATCTATTCTCTGTAAATATTTTTATTGCACCCTTTTGACCTTTTAATAATAAATCTGTCTGTCTTTCTGAAAGTGTTGAACTGTTTCTAAAGCTCATTAATGCAACTTACGAATTCCTGCCTCTAAAAGAGCGTTACTGTGTGTGTTTAACCCTCTGTATAACCTGTCTGTGGTGACAGTGCTATACCGATGATTATCTCAACCATTACAGTGTTATTGCTGATATTGCCGAGTTTCCTCTTTCTCTGTAAAAAAAGGAGGTGGTGACAGTGTGAAGGGTTAATTGCGTAATTAACCTGACCCAGTAACAATCGCATTCAGGCTGCCGGTAGATTGATTTGTGGTCCATTCG